ACTATCAACTTGAATGTTCTTGCAAAACTGTCTAGCAGCTCGCTAGGGAGGATTAACTTTCTGAAGCAGCCTATATATGAATGACTTTAGCTACATTATTTATGTCACATGACAGATCATGTGGTTGCTTTCTCAAAAGACCTTATAAAGTAGGAGCCTCTTTTTTTAATGTTTATTTATTTTTGAGAGAGAGAGAGAGAATGAGCAGGGGAGGGGGAGAGGGGACAGAGGATCTGAAGTGGGCTCTGTGCTGACAGCAGAGAGCCTGATGCAGGGCTCACACTCACGAACTTGTGAGATCATGACCCGAGCCAAAGTTGGACGCTTAACCCACTGAGCCACCCGGGCGCCCCTAAAGTAGGAGTCTTCTGATTCCCTTTTATCTATTGGACCTTGCTGAGTTTCTTCTAACCCTCTTTCCTTCCTTTTTTTTTTTTTTTTCTTTCCACCTTCTCTCATGACTCCATCTCTCCCTTCCTTGCCATTAGATTCCCTTATTTCTGATAGTCAAAAAGTCCAGGAAAAGGGGGAGTCTGGGAGGCTCAGTCGGTAGGCTATCTGATTCTTGATCTCAGGGTCGGGAGTTCAAGCCCCACACTGGGCGTGGAGACTACTTACATCCAGGGAAAGGACTCGAGCTTGCTTATAAAAACAGCTGTCGTCCATAATTTCAAAGTTGCCAAAGGACTAACTTACATAATTTTTAAAACCCAGAAGTTTTTAGATGAATAAAGCCCCTTAAATTTACACGTCACCCGGAGAGGTACCAAGCTGCTCTAACTTTAATCCGTGTCGATCCCGGTGGAATCTGCAGGCCAATGTCAAGCCACGGCACACGAAGGAGGCACAGGTAAAATAGAAGGGAAGGCACATGGCTCCCATAGGCTGTTATTGGCTAATGAGTCATGATTCATACCAAGATCCTTCTGTTGGAGCTTCCTGGTGAGTCTCCTGTCAGTCGGAGGGGCTATCAAAGCTTGAGTTGTGTGACAGAAAAGGTTCTTTGCTCTCAACCCTGCAAGCTCTAGGCCTGTGGTGCTCATCGCTAAAGCCGCCAAAGCTTCTCGCCGGTGCGGACTAGACGTGCTAGCCGGCCGGGGAGCCCGGATCACCGATGGTGACACTGCCTCCGGTATCAGGAAAATAACTCAGATAATCACATGCCCCACTCATCTTCCCGTTTGCTTAGGAGACTCATTAGTATTCTTCACGTCAAAGGCTAACATAATAAAAACACATACAGAAGAGATGTTCCTCTCAGAATGGCTCATGAACTGTCAGCCCTTTGCCTCAGTGCCTCTGTCTCGACCTTTGCCAACTCTCCAAGAGCTGGGTCAGTGCTCACCCCATCTTTAGATTTAGACTCTCTAGGGGCGCCTGGGTGGCGCAGTCGGTTAAGCGTCCGACTTCAGCCAGGTCACGATCTCGCGGTCCGTGAGTTCGAGCCCCGCGTCGGGCTCTGGGCTGATGGCTCAGAGCCTGGAGCCTGTTTCCGATTCTGTGATTCCCTCTCTCTGCCCCTCCCCCGTTCATGCTCTGTCTCTCTCTGTCCCAAAAATAAATAAATGTTGAAAAAAAAAAAAAATTAGACTCTCTCCTATGTCTGAGCCAGTCCAGGCCCGCACCAGGAAGAACGTGTCTGATCCGCCACCTAAGGGTGCAGGCCCAAGGCCCCCAGGGTGCCGCAGCTCACAGGCCCAGACTTCCACTTTGGCCCTCACTCCAAGTTCCGGTCTGGCCACTACGAACCTGCTACCTACACCCAACACCGCCCCCTCCCCCATGACCCTTCTCCATAAGCCCTCTGTTTCCATAGAGAGGGCACGGTAAACGCTACGAGTTTCAACCAATTTTCATGATGCTGAACTAAATAACAGTTAAAACACAATTCTCACAGGAACAACAAATTATCTTGGCAAAACCCCTCAGACACCTTTAACGGAGTCTGGCCGACCCTTCCTCTCGGCCCACCCTAGCTCCCAGAAATCCAAAATGGAAGGCCAGCATCCATAACGGAGACTAGCTGGGATCAGTGAAATCCGTGACCCGGCACAATTCCCAAATCTCATTATGGCCGATTTCAAATTATTCCCTATTCATTTGTTGTTGTTGTTGTTGTTGTTGTTTTAAGAGCTGTGTAGCACATATGTCACTTTGGTTTATTGTTCTTTTCCTTTCTTGGCCTACTGTGTGGTAGAAGTTTGAAAAAGAAGTGTTTTTAGCCTATGTGAATTATAGCTCACTAAAAAAAAAAAAAAAAAAAGAAAGAAAGAAAGAAAGAAAGAAGTGGCCAAAACATGAGCAGCTGGGGTGAAAAAAGAGGCAACATAAAGAGCCTCGCTCAGCAACAACAGCCCAACAATTAGCTGGAGACAAGCAGCAGCTGTCCCCTTCAGCCAGGCCATGTGGTCACCAAGTTGCCTCAGTCCCACCACCCGCTTCATGAATTTATGGTCCCTGCCCGGCCCCTGTGAGTGGTGGACTTTGCAACCTCGGGGATAGAGAATACAGACGCTAAACCATCAATCTTGGACCACTTGCCTGAATTAGTTTTCTGTTGTCGTTGCAACAAATCACCACAGACGTACGGGCTTCAAACAACACAAACGTATTCTCTCACGGTTCTATAGGTCAGAAGTCGGACGTGGCTCTCGCTGGGCTACATCGAGGGGTGTAGCAGAACTGAGTTCCCTCCTAGAATCTCTAGGGGAGACCCCATTTCCTTGCCCTTTCCGGTTTCCAGAGGCTGCCTGCATTTCCTGGCCAGTGGCTCCTTCCGCCATCTTCCAAGCCGGCAAGAGAGCGTCTCTGTAACCCTGCTTCCGTTCCCCCCCTACCCTTTCCCTGTCCCTCTTCTGCCTCCTTCTTCCACTTTTAAGGACCCTGTGATTACACTGAGCTCACCTGGGTAACCCAGGCTAGTCTCCCTATGTGCTGATTAGCAATCTTAACTCCCTTTTGCCACGTAAGGAAACATTTACAACTTCTGGGGATGAAGAGGTGGCCGTCTTCGGGGGGTGGGGGGCGCCTTATTCTGCCTACCACATCAACCAGTCTGTGCTTCACAAATTACGGAGGAAAATTAAAAGCATGTACTTTTTACAGGCAACTGCAGTTTGATGTGTAGTATATGGGCTCCAGAAAAGGTGAAGGTAAAGCAAATTACAATTTGAAGGCATTAGAGTAATTCACCATTGCAAAGAATCCTGTGGTGAATTGTTCTGTAAAGCTATTAATTCCTCAAGGTCTTGTTTCATGAATCCAGATTTCCATACATCAGAGTCATGTTGGGCTACAGTTGAAGTATGGATAGAACATTTTAATATTTTGAGTATGTTGGGAGCGGAATCAAAACCCATGGAACCATTTTCTGACAAGCCGCACAGAATTATGGCCTTCACGCATGCATTTCTGAACCTGATCATTCTGATAGGAGATGTATTATCATAAAGACTTCGGTCTCACTCACTCAGCTAGTAAGCGCTGATCGTGCGCTGTTTAAGAGCACAGGCTCGGGCGATTGCCCGCCGAGGTTCCAGTCCCATGTCTGGACATCTGGGGCCGTGTGGCCTTGGGTTAACCACTAAATTTCTTTGTGGCTCACTTTCCACAGCTGTACCCTAAGAATGAAAAGAGGACCTCTCTCATAGGGCCGCCACAAGGATTATATGAGATACAGAACACAAAACACTCCGTTATGGCGCCTGGAACATATTAAGTCCTCGATGCATGGATTCATCGCCACGCGCTAAGGCCCCTGGTGAGGTGCAGGGGACACACAGGAAGCAATCCTACAACTGGGATTCATCATGTTCGGGGCTTGAAAACGAAAGGGGAGAACCATGATGTGACCTCCGATACTTAATGGAAGGGTGAATCATCCTCAGCAAACCACATGATCTTATATCGAATATCTGAACGAACAGTTACATTTGGTTATCAGACAATACTTTGCCTTTCTGCTCAGACTCTTCAAGGACCTTGTTAGTTTTAACCTCCGGATTTGGACGGCTCGTCACAGTCCCTGGAACAAAAGCCAACTTCATGCCCCCAGGCATTCAAGACCGTGCCCAATTTTCTCCCTCTGTTTCTACCTTTATCTCGTACGAAGCCCGTATTCAAACTCGCTGTTCGGGCCAAACTACAAAACGATGCGATTCTCTGACAGCCCTAAGGTACCGCTTTGTAGAGTAGTAAATTTGCTAGGCTTCTTATCCAGTCTGGACACCACTGGAGGCTGGGGACCTCCTCTTAGGCGTCCATATATTTCCCCTCAGTGACCAGCATATAATCTGCACCAAATTAGTATTTGCTCAATAAACGGATTACCCTGCCCTTCCATTCATTACCTTCATTTCCAGAACAGGAACCTGCGATGCCCTTTTGTTTCAAAGCTTTTATCTTCATTCAGCTGACAGCCTCCTCTTTAAATTTCTCTTATTTTTAATTGAGGTATAGTTTGAATGACAGCCTCCTTCTTCAACTTCCTGACTCAGAATAATTACACTTCTTTAAAAAGTTGCACTTCTAAATTTATCCTGGAGGTTGCAGATTTTTAAAATTCAGTACCTCTGCGGGAGCCTGAGTGGCTCAGTCGGTTGAGCATCTGACTTCGGCTCAGGTCATGATCTCGCGGTTCGTGGGTTCGAGCCCCACATCGGGCTCTGTGCGGACAGCTCAGAGCCTGGAGCCTGCTTCAGATTCTGTGTCTCCCTCTCCCTCTCTGCCCCTCCACTGCTCATGCTATGTCTCTGTCTCTGTCTCTGTCTCTCTCTCTCGAAAACAAACATTAAAAAAAATTCTTTTTTAATTAAAAACAAAATAAAAGAAAATCCGATACCTCTGTGAGGATCCCCTCAGTAAAGTTTTCTTCTGTTCTGTTTTGTTTTGGCTATAGGGCTCACTGGAAACATTTTTTTAAAAGAAATATTTTTCTCCTACACAGGCTCCTCATGACAATATCCTTGCAACGATGAAATAATATAAGAAGCACTTCTTACCTTCATGGTAACTGTGATGGTGCTATTTACGTTTGCTTTATGCAGCCAGCCTTGTTTAATCACACCGCCCTTCTGAGAACATAATGAAGACGAATCCTGAAACAGGGCAGAAACCATCAGTGAAACGGCCGGCCGTCCAATCAAACATTTGGGGGACACAAACTAGGCCCTGCCCCCATTTGCTAATTAAAGCATAAAGCCCCCACCCCACCCCTGGAAAGGTACCCGATTAAACTGGAAACTGGAAACCAGGGAATGAAAGGCTTTGTGCCGTGTATGCAGTAGGTACTCAGTATTTACTGAATCCTAGGAGCTGGCAAGGTCTTCTGCATTAAGTGAACAGTCAAGCTGCACCTCAAAGTGTCACAGAGGGGCGCCTGGGTGGCTCGATCGGTTGGGCATCGGACTCTTGACTTCAGCTCAGGCCGTGACTTCATGGATCGTGGGTTCGAGCCCTGCGTTGGGCTCCACGCTGACAGTGGGGGGCCTGCTTGGGATTCTCTCTCTCTCTCTCTCTTTCTCTCTCTCTCTCTGCCCCTCCTCTGCTCACTTGAGCTCTCTCTCAGAAATAAATAAATACACTTAAAAAAAAATGTCACAGATATCTGGGCCATCTGTCCCATGAGGGATCTATTAGGGAGCAGAGTCCAGATGAATCATCACACCGCGTGCCCAGACGGAGAAAACCAACTCCACGAGCTCGTCCCACAGGTGGGGAAACATGTTTACGGTCAAATCCCAGCCCATTTCACTTGATCTTTCCTAAACTCCATTTGGAAATGCAACAACTGGTAAAAAACAACAACAACAACAACAATTCTTCTTTTCCCAAGGAAATCTCTCTCGGCAGAAGCGACCTTGAGGAAAGCAGTGCAGGGGGGCCCCCCCATCTTTACCTCATCTTTATCGCAGTCCTCATCAATCTCAAACACATGGTTGGGTATCTTTTCTGGTCGCAGAGACTTGCTGAAAACGCAAGAGAATTACGTCAGATGCTGACGAGAACTGAGAGGAAGATAAAGCAAGGCGGGCAGACTTTCCTTTACAACCAAGAAGATGCCAAGACACAAGGAGGCCGGATTCTGTCCCCCTTGCCCAACTCAGATGTTCCCCTCTGACTCAACGTACGTTACCTTTCGTATACGGACTCGCACAGGCACAGCCAGCCGCAAAGCGACAGCTGAGGCCAGATATTTTGTCAGGGACAGCAGAGTCGTCAAAGATGGTGTGTCAGAACCTGTCAGTGGTGGCAGAACCTTGTCTTTCGCCGGGACAGAAAGCAACACGGTGTAATCCTGGCTCTTCCCTCTGTCTGCTGTAGGAACTTGGACTGGTCGTCCATCTTGGGATTCGATTTTAAAGGACATTTTGAGGACTGTTTGCTCCCCTAGGAAAGTGTTTCTGAAGACCCCAACGGGCTACACGACAGCTTATTTCTTGAAAACATTTCCCGTAGGACAGATAGACTACGAGGTCAGTAGTAGTATAGATGAGGAAAGGGCGAGCAGGGAGGTTCAAAGAGACTGAGTGACCGGCCCAAGGTGATCCAGTTAGTAAGTAGCAGAAAGAGGAGTTGAACTCTAACAAGGAAGATCTGAACTGATTCCTGGGCCAGTATGCTCAGGGCGGTCAGTCAACTCAACTGAGAGAGATACGCTTTTGGGGTGCCTGGGTGGCTCAGTCGGTTGAGTTTTCGACTCTCGATTTCGGCTCAGGTCGTGATCTCACGGAACGTGAGTTTGAGCCCTGCGTCAGTCTCTGTGCTGACAGTGCAGAGCCTGCTTGGGATTCTCTCTCCCCCATCTCGCTCTCTGCCCCTCCCCCACTCGCCCGCCCTCATGCACACGCTCTCTCTCTCAATCTCTCTCTCTCTCAAAATAAATAAATACACTCTAAGAAAAAAAAGAGAATGTCTGGGGTCACTGAACTAAGCCAAGTACCTTCTAGCATTTTCCTTGACGCCACTGGAAAGTGCTCACTGCATTATCCAGAATCAAATAAAGATGATTCTAAGATGCATCTAGGCCAAAAGGCAAACTCCTACTTGTTGAAAGAATTTCAATGAGCAAAGTAAACACATATTCAGTTATCCAAAGTACGTTTACCAAACACGCGGGTTGCTTACGGCTTTGCCTTATTACAAATTACAACTGAGAAGCTTCAAAAGTGGTTAGAAAAAAGGTAAACCGCTGAGCAACTCTCCTCTTGAAGAGTCTCCGTTGAATTCTCCACTTACCATGGCAACATTCGAAAGTCCCCGGAGAAGTCTTCATACTTATAATTTACCACATGCCAATCTGTGCTATAGGTTTTAATACACTGAAAGAAAACAGAAATCCTTCACTGGAAACATTAAAAAGTACACACATATCCAGCTTCTTAAAGTCTCGCTGTAAGCTGACAGACTTTCAAAAATCATTTGGAAGATGTCGGCACTGGGATCTTCCTCTGGGGATGAACACGGTCTCCCTCACCCAACTGGCAGCAGTAAATCCCAATTCGTACAGCCTTTTGAACAACTGTCACTCCAAGTCCAGAGGGTGTTCAAATCCAAAAGAGAAAAACCAAGAACCCATGCCATTTGGCACGGTATTTAAGCTGCATCCCCTCTCTCGCCTCCCCTAGACTCGCAATGGAGATCTGCCGAGTTATAGTAATTTTATTTCCCGTTTACAGTAAAGGAAGAATATTGTTTCAGTGTCATAATTACTCTGTGGACTTTGAGTGTCTTACCTCTTTGACAAACAAACTCTGGGCTCTTTTCTCAGCATCGTCTGGTACAGTGGACTGCACTGTTCTGCGCTGACGGCTTATCACCGAGATCTAGAAGGCAAAGGAACATTCTTGCCGTAAGAATTAGCTTGGAAAGTGCGAGGGTTTTCCTTTAAAGAAGTGCTCGTGGGGGCCCCTGGGGGGGGCGGGGCTCAGTCGGTTGAGCCTCGCACTCTTGATTTCAGCTCGGGTCACGGCCCCAGGGTCATGGGATCGAGCCCCACGTTGAGCACGGTGCTCCGCATGGAGCCTGCTTAAGATTCTCTCTCTTTCTCTCCCTCCCCCCTCTGCCCCTCTCCCCGACTCGAGCCTTCTCTCTCTCTCAGATTAAAAAAAAAAGAAAAAAGTGCTTGCGAACTCACAGATATGTCTTCCATCGGAAACATAAGCAGGTCTCTGAGGGGGTCGCTGTAAATCTGGGTTTTCCTTTGGGTGATGACATTCTCATAGTCCAAGGGCTCAACAATTTTGGTCTTTTCCTTAATAAGAGACAAAAATAAAAGTTAATATGGTCAAACTCACAAGAGATAAGTTCCTCTCCGTGTGCCAAAGACACCTGACTTCATTAAAGAAGGGATTATTGATGATAATAGGCACTTGGACACTTTCACAACAGACGTACGTGAATAAACTCCATAACTAGACCCACACACACCAAACACATACATACACACACGTCTCTCCGCTGAAGTCAAGAGCTCTGGAGAGAGAGCACTGTCCTCTGTTTATCCACGTGCCATCCAAAAATGTAAGGTCAAGCAAAACCTGGTACATCTGGAAGGCTGTCCATCGATTTTTGTTGAATTGGCTCTGTTCACTGGGTAACCGAAGCAGAGAGGGTATCAGCATCTGTGTGCCTGGTGCAGGCACGGCCAGGGCAAGCCTGGGTATCGGAGGGAGGTGTTCGATCCACCGGGAAGGGCACAAAAGGATGAGGTTCTGGGTGGCACGGTCAGTGGGTCCCTGTCGGGACTTCCAGGTGACCTGGCTACTGATAGGAGGGCCCCAGCTTGAGGCTAGGGTTACAAGGAGCAGGGTGGGTGACTGAGAAATCCAGGACAGGACTTATTGATTAGAGCAATACTAGTTAGCATTTACCAAGCCCTTTCTATATGCCAGCCACTGTGCCAGGTGCCTTCTCTGTGTTTTCGCATGTAATACTCATGACCCCCCTATGAAATAGGCTTGGCCTGGGGCTCCTGGCTGGCTCAGTCAGTGGAGCATGCAACTCTTGATCTCAGGGGTCATGAGATCGAGCCCCACATTAGGGGTAGAGTTTACTCATGAATGAATGAATGAGTGAATGAATAGAAATAAGCTTAATCTTTGTCACCGTCTTACGGACGAGGAATCTTTGCACGCAACCCACGCTACGTAACTAGTCTGCCTTCAGAGCTAGTTTTCGAACCTAGGTCTGGGACTACAAAAGCTCTGTTCTTTCTACCTCACACAGCCTTTCCTCCCCTCAGAAGTACACAAAGAGGGGCGCCTGGGTGGCTCAGTTGGTCAAGTGTCCAACTCTTGATTCTGGCTCAGGTCATGATCTGAGGGTCATGAGATCGAGCCCCACATCGGGCTTCGTGCTGAGCGTGAAGCCTGCTGGAGAGTCTCTCTTTGCCCCTCCCCCGCTTGCGTGCGCCTGCACACTCTCAGAAAAATTTTTTAATTAAAAAAACACGAAATACATAAAAATACTAACACACCAGAAACTGAACTTGGGAGAGGACCCCACCACTTACTTCTATCCTATTTTTCTTCACTGAACTTATCACCATGGGATATAATATCTACTTTACCTCTTTGAGGGCACAGATTTCCCCTTTCTAATAATACTGCTCTCCTCAAATCGAATTAAAATTACTTAAAAATTTTTATTTAGAAAAACTACATAAAGAAAACTTGAATATAAGCGATACTGAAAGTTAGTGTCAAAATGGAATCGGGAGTTATATTTGTATTTGTGTACACAGTATTAGAGACAGTCTCCAACATATTACATCCACAGACTCCTTTGAGAAGATTGTTTTTTTTAAGTTTTTTTTTTTAATTCCACTTAGGCAAGGGGCGCCTGAGTGGCTCAGTTGGTTAAGCATCCCATTTCGGCTCGGGTCATGATCTCACAGTTCGTGAGTTTGAGCCCCGCATCAGGCTCTGTGCTGACAGCTCAGAGCCCGGAGCCTGCTTCGGATTCTGTCTCCCTCCCTCTCTGGCCCTCCCCCACTCGCTCACGCGTGTGCGCGCACATGCGCTCTCTCTCTCAAAAATAAATAAACATTAAAAATTTTTTTTTTTTAATTCCAGTTAGGTAACATACAGTATAATATTAGATTCAGGTAAACGATACACTGATTCAACACTTGCATACAAGGCCCGGTGCTTATCAAGACAAGTGCCCTCCTGAATCCCCATCACCTACCCCATCCACCTCCCCTCTGGTAACCATCAGTTTGTTCTCTATGGTTAAGAGTCTGTTTCCTGGTTTGCCTCTGTCTCTTTTGGTTTTTTTTTCACCGTTGTTCGTTAGTTTTGTTTCTTAAATTCCACCTATGAATGAAATCATACGGTATTTGTCTTTCTCTGACTGACTTATTTCGCTTAGCATAATACTTTCTGGCTCCCTCCATATCGTCGCAATGAGCAAAATTTCGTTCTTTTTTTTTTTTAAACATTTATTTATTTTTGAGACAGAGAGAGACAAAGCATGAACAGGGGAGGGTCAGAGAGAGAGGGAGACACAGAATCTGAAACAGGCTCCAGGCTCTGAGCTGTCAGCACAGAGCGCGACGCGGGGCTCGAACTCACAGACCGCAAGATCATGACCTGAGCTGAAGTCGGCCGCTTTACTGACTGAGCCACCCAGGTGCCCCAAAATTTCGTTCTTTTTATGGCTGAATAATATTCCATATATATAAACACACATTCTGCTGCTTCTTCATCCATTCATCAGTTGATGGACACGGACTGTTGGCCTAATTCAGCTATTGCAAGTAATGCTGCTATAAATGAGAACAGTTTTTATACGTGGTTCACAATTAAGTCACAGCTGCATCTCAGTTCCGTATCTGAGGAGCATCTCAGAGTTTCCTCTATGAGAGTCCTTAGAAAGTTTAAACCACTTTAACCAAAGAGCATCCTATTCAACAAATCTAAAAGATCCTTAAAAAACGGTATGGGGGGCGCCTGGGTGGCGCAGTCGGTTAAGCGGCCGACTTCAGCCAGGTCACGATCTCGCGGTCCGTGAGTTCGAGCCCCACGTCAGGCTCTGGGCTGATGGCTCGGAGCCTGGAGCCTGTTTCCGATTCTGTGTCTCCTTCTCTCTCTGCCCCTCCCCCGTTCATGCTCTGTCTCTCTCTGTCCCAAAAATAAATAAACGTTGAAAAAAAAATTAAAAAAAAAAAAACGGTATGGAAGTGCCTCACGAAATTAAAAACAGAACTACCATATGATCCAGCGATCCCACTTCTGGGTCTTTATCCAAAGAAAACAAAATCAGTATTTCAAAGAGACATCTGCACTCCCACGTTTCCAGCAATGTTATTCCCAACGGCCAAGTCACAACGTAAGCGTCTGTCAACAGATGAACGGAGAAAGAAATGTGATGTATGCATATAGTGAAATATTATTCAGCCACGAGAAAGAAGGCCATCTTGCCATTTGCAACACCGAGGATGAACCTCGAGGACGTTATAAGGGAAATGAGCCAGACAGAGAAGGACAAAACTGCATGGTATCTTGGATAAAGAAGATATGGGGTGTGTGTGTGTGTGTGTGTGTGTGTGTGTGTGTGTGTGTGTGTGTGTGTGGAATATTACTCAGCCATGAAAAAAGAATGAAATCTTGTCATTTGCAATAACATGGATGCACCTAGAGGGTATTAGGCTAAGTGAAATAAGTCAGAGAAAGACAAATATCATACGATTTCACTTTTATGTGGAATCTAAGAAAACAAAACAAAAACAGACTCATAAATACAGAGAACAAACTGGTGGTTGCCAGAGGGGAAGAAGGTAGAGAGGTGTGTAAGGCAGGTGAAGGGGACTAAAAGGAACAAAAGTTCCAGTTATGAAGTCAAGCGGATGAAAATTACAGCACAAGAGGGGCGCCTGGGTGGCTCAGTCGGTTGAGCGTCCGACTTCAGCTCAGGTTGTGATCTCATGCTTCCTGAGTTCAAGCCCCGGGTCGGGCTGTGCTGACAGATCAGAGCCTGGAGCCTGCTTTGGATTCTCTCTCTCTCTCTCTCTCTCTCTCTCTCTCTCTCTCTCTCGGTCTCTCGGTCTCTCTCTCTCTCACTCTCTCTGCCCCTCCCCCACTCATGTCCTGTCTCTCAAAAAAAATAAGTAAATGTTAAAAGAAAACTTTTTTTAAAAAAAAGAAAATCACAGCACAGGGAATACAGTCAATGATATCGTGAAAACTTTATTTAATAGCAGATGGTAACGACATTTATCATGGTGAGCATTTCATAACGTATATAAATGTCAAAACACTACGTTGTGCACCTGAAACTAACAAAATGTTGTGTGTCAACTATACTTCAATTAAGATAAAAAAACCTTCCCATTGGGGTAGGACCCAAAAGGAGGACATAGACTTGATCACTGTTGACGGTAAAGATGGGTGATTAGTACCTGGGTTCTCATTATTCTCTTCTGACAACAACAAAGAAATACTATATGGTGCCATTTATATGTGAAATCTGAAAGAAAAAAAAAAAGTAGAGTGGTAGGTGCTGGGGCTGGGGGATGAGGGAAATAGGGAGATATCACTCAAAAGGTGCAAACTTCAGTTATAGGATGAGTAAATTCTGGAGCTATAATGCACAGCATGGTGACTATAGTTATGAATACTATATCGCATACTTGAAATTTACTCAGAGGCCAGATCTTAAGCGTTCTCATCAAAAACAAGCATGCAAGGGGCGCCGAGGTGGCTCAGTCGGTTAAGAGTCTGACTCTTGGGGCGCCTGGGTGGCGCAGTCGGTTGAGCGTCCGACTTCAGCCAGGTCACGATCTCGCGGTCCGGGAGTTCGAGCCCCGCGTCAGGCTCTGGGCTGATGGCTCAGAGCCTGGAGCCTGTTTCTGATTCTGTGTCTCCCTCTCTCTCTGCCCCTCCCCCGTTCATGCTCTGTCTCTCTCTGTCCCAAAAATAAATAAAACGTTGAAAAAAAGAAAAAAAAATTTAAAAAAAGAGTCTGACTCTTGATTTCGGCTCAAGTCATGATTTGATTTCACGGTCCGTGGGATCAAGCCCCGCCATCAGGCACGGGGCTCTGTCCGTGCTGACAGTGGAGCCTGCTTGGGATTTGCTCTCTCCCTCCCTTCCTCCTTCTCTCTCTCTCTCTCTCTCTCTCTTCCTCTCTTCCCCTGTTGCCCACTTGGGCTCTGTCTCTCTCTAAATAAATAAACATTTTTTAAAAAGTATGCGAGGTGATAAATGTGTTAACTAATTTGATGGTGGTAATCATTTCGCCATCTATACGTATGCTAAATTT